TTTTAGCAAATGGCTGCAATATAACAAAGAGTGAAAAATTTAAGGGGGTCTGAATACTTTCCGTACCCACTGTGTGTGTGTGTGTGTGTGTGTGTGTGTGTGTGTGTGTATATATATATATATATAAATAATGCGCGCATACATACATACAGGTTACCAAGAACAACTGAACTACAGGCACGGTGATGGTTCATACACCACGTTTGATTACAATGCATCCAATACATGGTGTGTTTTCATGCTGTTCTTGTATTGTGAGTCATTGAATTGGGTTGTAATGAGACTTTTCATGGCCAGGTTGACCACCTTCATCATGAGGTCTTTTGGCCTAGCAAGGAGTTTCATCTTCATTGATCCCAGTGTCCTCCAGAGCACAAAGGATTGGCTGATCAGCAAGCAGGGTTCAGATGGCTGTTTTATGCAGCAGGGAAGTCTGTACCACAATGCCATGAAGGTGTGCATAATGTTTCTTTAAATGTGCCGTAATTGGTATGAGACTGACCTTAATTGTTATGCTGCTCCGTTTTAGGGTGGTGTTGGTGATAACGTGGCCATGACGGGCTATGTTGCGTCGCTGCTTGAACTAGGCGTCCTTGTCACGGTAAAAACATGGCTACCAGACAAGCTCCTTGATAACCTTCTGGTTATGTAGTCTGACATTTGCGTTGCTTTCAGGACCCCATCCTCACTAAAGCTGTGTCTTGCTTGAGGCCTGTTGTTGGGAACCTGGGAAACACTTACACCAAGGCTCTGCTCGCCTACACATTCAGTCTGGCTGGAGGAACAGCACTCGAGCATAGCTTTTAAATGCCTTGGACAATGTTGCCATTTCTGAAGGTGAGATTCACTAGTCTCTTGTTTGAGGTGTTTGGGTTCTTTGGCATCAACTTTCTGTCCTCGGTCTCGTCTTAAGGCACTAAGCTCCACTGGTCTCAGACTACATCTGGTGACACTCTGGCGGTGGAGATCAGCTCCTATGTGTTGCTGACAGTTCTCTCTGTACAGCCTCTCACGACTGCTAATCTAGGCTATGCTAACCGCATTGTCAACTGGCTTGTGACCCAGCAGAATCCTTATGGAGGCTTTTCCTCCACCCAGGTGACTGACCACCAAACATGAGCGCAAACATCATATCTGAGTAGAGGTTTTAATCTGGTGCTTATGTTTAGGACACTGTGGTGGCTCTTCATGCTCTCTCTGCTCGCTGCTGACGTGTTCAGCCTGGAGGGCTCCAGCACTGTTACCGTACAGTCGTTGTCTATAGCAGGAGAGGTTTATAACTTCGTTGTGAATCGAGACGACAGGCTGCTGTATCAGGAGAAGCCGCTGAAAAACTTTCATGGCAGATAGTGTTCGAGGGAAGGGCTCCACCTGTGTGTCTGTGCAGGTCTGAACCTTCACCTGCTTAACTTCTACCTCTATGCTTGTCCTAGTTCCTTGTCCTGTTTGGTTTTGTACTCCCAGGTTGCATGTTTCTACAACATCCCGACATCCATTAAAGCTTCCAGAACACTTAGCATTGAAGTGAAGGTGGCAAGAGACTGCAAAGTGCGTGGAGCACTTTGCATGGAGCGATCTTGTGTTGTGTGAAGCAAGAACCACTTTGACCTGTTTGACCCTTAAAGCATCTTTACACAGCTGAGCTAAGGCTGCTCTGTGCCTGCTCAATTCTGTGACTATTCCACATAAAAAGCCAGTCCAAATGTAATTCTGACCCACCTCAGCCCCTAATATCTAAGTGCACAGTTGGGACTTCTGCGTAAATTCCATTATGCCACCTCTGAGCAGCATTAAGCCATTAACTGTTTTTTTTTCTTTAAACTCCCCTTCATTTAGGTACAATGGTGCGAAACCAACTACCAACATGGTTATAGTGAACATTAAACTCCTGTCGGGTTTCACAGCAGATACGTCACTGGTTCGTATGTTTTGATGAATTGTATGTAGAGTCCTAAGATGCTTGAAACTGCTTCACATGTTAATGGATTTTTCCTCTCAGCTTGGATCGCCACTGGATACATTTGCTCCATTAGTGCAGTGGGTAGATAACTGGAGATGACCATGTGCTTGTGTATCTGAAAGGGGTGACTACAACTGAAACAGGTTCTTGCAGTGCAGAATCTCAAGCCAGCGGTCGTTGAGGTTTATGACTATCAGCCAAGTATGTGTAGTGGCTGGTGCTTTTGGCTGAATTCCCTGGTGCTCATGTGTCAAGCTGACTTCCTGTTCCTCTTTCACTTTCAGGTGATGTGTTTGAGACCACATAAATGCCTCCCTGTCCATGATTGTGCTTCATTTCTGGCTATAGGATGCATGAATGAAATGAAATAAAACTCCTCTTAAAAATCAGTCGTTGCTTGCCTCTTTTGTTGAACATCTGAGATGTGTTTGAAGCTGGACATCTCAAACTTGCAGTTTTCTTACATGGCTAATGGATTTATTTATTTTTTTCGCTCAATGGGTTTTAACTTGGGCTGTGAGTGCTCTTGCTTTCCATATGTCTTGCAAGACAAATTTTTATTTATATATATATATATATATATATATATGCGTGTGCAAATTTGTCCTTTGCGTAAACCAATATTATCTCTAGCAAATACGGTTTCTGGTTTCATGGCTTTATTTTTAATGACATAAAAATACTGAATATAATATTATTGATGCTAAAATGGCACTGCAGTTGTGATTGGTTCATTCAGTCAAACACTGAGAAAATTAACCAGTGTCATGATAAACAAAATTAAAGAGACCTTAAATTCAATCTTTCCAGTGAAAAGCTCTAAGAGTATTTTTATTGGACCCCTTGTATGTGGCCAGTAGTTCGTTCATTCTGAAGATGTCCATTGGATCAGGTGTTCGTCTCAGTCAGTGTATGGCTGACGTGGCTCATTTCTCACTGCAGTGGTGGACTCGTTTACTTTGTGAACTCTAGTATCCGTTCACCTGCGCAGACTCGTTCTACGTGCGTGTGAACCTTGACCTGTCAAAACCACTGGAAGGCAAGCCTGCAACCATAGATATTTATAGGTAGATGCCTCATTCAACAGCTCCTCATTCAAGGAGACTCATCTTGCAACGGTCAACTTGATGTCATTTATGGCGTTTTTACTGTCAAATGGAGAGCACGCACTGTAACGTGAAAGTACATTGCTGAGCGAATCTCTCCACTCGCACGTGGATTTTCTTTGCTCTCGCACTAAACCGGAAGCGCGCTCCCAGATATGTGCTGCTCTCTCCCAGAGAGTGTGCGCACTTAAAACGTGTCCATTGCTCAATGTGCCCATGTACGCGGTCAAACTGTGTCCTTTGCATTTGCAAATCTCTCCGTGCTCTTGTGCTAGAAATTATTTTCGCACCTGGACTAAACGTTGTCAAAAGTTCTCACAGGTGAGAATGCAAGAGAGGGGCGGAACCACTCGAATATTCATTATTATGGTGAATGACGTCAAGTTGACCTTTCCAATATGGCGTACGGCTTATGTATAGCGGCCCATATAGTCGCTAATGAGGCATCTACGTATACATATCAGTAGATGCAAAGTCCTAGATTAACTTAAAGTGGCAGGAAAAATGGGCTCTTTTCACAGAAGTCAGTCAAAAATCCATACCAAATGTGAGTTTAATCAAAACACAAAATTACAAAATCCAGTTGGTTCTTATATCCTATGATATTACACTTGTAATTCCTTTAACTCGTGTTTCCTTAAACGTTTAAACACAAGTTTTATCCATAAATGACATCAAGATGGTAAGAAAACTGTTTCTCGCTTATTTCCCTGCCCGCACCTATTCAACAGAACAGAACCAAAATTATACATCAGAAACATAAGAAATAAAACTGAAACATATACATAGGAAATATCAAAATTGCCTCTAAAGAAAGTTACAGAAATTATACTTTAAGTCATTACTTGCAAATCAACTCTCTAAACAAAAGTGTTTGTACTGTTTTTGTTAGTTTTTCCTGTTTTTTGTTTCTAAAAAAATGTAATGGCTAATGCTAACTCTGCAGCTTTGGCGGTACGTGGGGAAGGACACCAGAGGCAGTTTTATTTTGAATGGATGTCAATGGAGGAGAGGCTTCACTATGTGGAATAAACCGCTTTTGTGAGGAAACAGATTATTTAATGAAGATTAGCAAACAGGTTGTCTATTCATGTTTTACACTAAATAAATACTTTTGTTGGTAACTATATGTAGATTTTACCTTAATGTTATTTGTAAGAGAAGGCCGAGGAATGTTGTGACTGTTATGGCGTAATCAGAACATGAGACCTGCGGATCCATGTGCAAGGTTTTATTTCAAAAGGCGTCATGAAACGTGCAAGGGTCAGATAATGTGACGGGTACAACAAAGCCAAGGCAAAGAATACTCCTAGGGCAGGCGAGGGGCTTCGATCGACGAACAATATCCAGAGGGCTTGACAAGAGGCGTAACACAATAACATGAGCAAAAGTCCAGGCAAGGTGCAAACAGAGTCCAAACGACAAGATGAGCGAAATCTAAGGCAGGCAGATAATCAGGCAACACAACGAGACTAGAAGTAGGGAACTAATACAAGACTGGGAAAGGGCTCCGTAACGTTGCTATCACTCACGTAGCGATATGCACAAACAATACTCGGCAGTGAGAAAGAGGAAGTCCATGGCTTATGTAGGGTGTTTGATTGGTTGCAGCTGTGTGTGTAATCAGTGCAATAGTAGTGTGGTGCAAGAGTCCATCATAATGAGCGGGTGATCTCGTGGTGATCGAACGGAAGAGGAAGCACAGGATTCGTGACAGTGACAGGTAAAACTTAAAGGGTTAGTTCACCCAAAAATGAAAATTAGCCCATGATTTACTCACCCTCAAGGCATCCTAGGTGTATATGACTTTCTTCTTTCAGATGAATCCAGTCGGAGTTATATTAAAAATTGTCCTGGCTATTCCAAGCTCTATCATTGCAGTCAG